TTCAAATCTTGCCATGGCAGATGGTCGAAGTTGAATTCATTAAGAATCTGGAATTAAGACTCTGACAATGATGATTAAATAAAAACCAAAAGAACTGCGGATGCTGTAAATCAGGAACAAAAACAAAGTTGCTGGAAAAGCTCGGCAGGTCTGGCAGCATCTGTGAAGGAGAAAACAGAGTTAACGTTTTGGGTCCAGTGATTTAAGCCAGATCAAGTAAAAACAGCAGGTTTCCTTTCCCAAAGGACAATGATGATTAAATCATTGTCCATTGTTCATTGTTCATCTGGTGTCCTAATGTCCTTTGGGAAAGGAAATCTGCTGTTTTTCCTTGATCTGGCTTAAATATGACTCCACACCCACAGCCATGTGATTGACTTTCAACTCGTCTCTGAGCAATTTGTGATGCTATAAATACTGTCTTGCCCACAATCCAGGAATGAGTTCAAAAAAAATGTACAGGGACTTGCTCTCCCGTTGACCTATTATTGACAAGAACAGGATCACCAACCAGTTTTCTTCCAGGTTATGATCTGTGTGCTAAAATGCATGGTGCTTGCTATTGGAAGCTAACGCGCTCTCAGACCTCAGGTCAATATTTCTTCTTGTTGCAGTTCTCTAGTCACTTGGAGATATAGAAGTGTAACCAGAGCTGCAATTTCTGTTTTTGCCTTCTCGCACATATTGCACAATAATTTTACTTTTCAACACCTTCTGAAGTTGAATTTGAAGTAAAATTAATTTGATTAAAGAAACCACTTGTATGAAGTGACTTAAATGCTGCCTTCCTTTGAAGGTTTATTTATGCCCAGTCAGCAGTTTGATGGGATATTAAAGCTGTAAAGTTAAAGAGTTGGTATCAGCAGACTAATGAAAGCTGAAAAGCATGTTATCCTGCAGTGTAAGAGCGCAGAAGCCTCCCAGCTATGGATGCATTCCGCAACTCCCACCCCCCACCTCCTAGTGTTTGCCGTATGAGGAGGAGGATGATGAGATCCATGTAATTACAGCTTTGTTCAGGCATGTTATCAGAACCTTGTCAATCATGTATGTAAACACTAACCAAGGACATCATCCTTAATCCAAGATTCTGATTAGCAGTTCAAACACCCAGGGCTTTGTTTGAGCTGTCTTGTGTACATTTTAAATACTTCGCATTCAGTCTCTTATAATGGCTCCTTCTTACTTTTATGAGTATTTTTTTGACTTTGTGTTTAAGCGAATTGTACTTGTTAACTGATTCTAATTTGTGTGAAAAGGCTGTAGGCCCAGATATTTTATTGGTGCTGAAGTTTCCTATGTTCACCACCATTACTCTGAAACTGACAACAACTTCTGGCATAACAAGGTGTAGAACTGGATGAACCCAGCAGGCCAAGCAGCATCAGAGGAGCAGGAAAGCTGATGTTTCGGGCCTAGACCCTTCTCTCTGAAACAACTTCTGGCGTATGCAGAGATAGCAAGAACTGGAGATGCTGGAGTCAGAGATAACACAGTGTGGAACTGGAGGAACACAGCAGGCCAGACAGCATCAGAGGAGCAGGAAAGTTGACGTTTCGAGTCCGGAACCTTTGTCAACTTTCCTGCTCCTCTGCTGCCTGGCCTGCTGTGTTCCTTCTGGCATATGCAGTTGTTTAGTAAAATTTGGAAATTCAGAAATTGTTGTCATTGGTTCCCTGCTTTGCAATAGGGAAGACTTCTTTTGATACCCTTGCAAATGGATATCTTTGAAGTTACTTGTTTTGACATGAACTTTTGTCATGTTGTTTGTCCCACCAAAATGCCAAGGAAAAGGTTAACATTTATTAAAACAGGTCACGCTGGAATTTTAACAGTATTACAAGTCATAATTACTTTTCAACAGCTTCTTTTTGGCCCTAAAAAACTGATTATTTTATACTGGTGAAGCATCTAATATCCTCGCTATGAAAAATAATCGATCGATTTTTAAAAAGCTTTATTTTAAAGTAAATGATATTTCTGTTTCCATGTTAGTCCCATACATATGCCCCAGTCCATATGTTGCTATATCTAAAATGATTAAAGAGTGAAGGGTAATCAGTGCACTTTTACTTCCTGATGCTGAACTTCCATCCTCTATCTATACAACCTCTCAAAACCCTGCCCTATAAAATGATGTCAGGAAAGTGAGATCCATGCAGAGAAATTGTTGGATTTTTGTGGACCCCTTCAAGGTCTGTGTCACTTTGATTATAAGATGTGATTCTCAATTCATTTTTGTATTTAGGGAGTATTGTTGTTTAAAAGAACCAGTTGAAATAAGCACTGATTAAAAAAAAACTTAAGAAAAATAGGATGGCATTGGTATCTAAGAACGGTGAAATTAAACCCGAACGATTCAGGGGTTTTAATAAGCTCCACCTTCAACGTATCCATTTGCTACAGAACAGCAATCAAAAAAGTAAATAGTATAGGCAAAAGAACAGATACATTTGTAGAAGAAATTATGGACAAATTAGATAACCCTCTAGGTAGACTGTTCATACAGATATTCATACATTGGAAGCAGTCCTGAGAGTCAAAAATGTAATTCCTATTGTCTGAGACATTGAATCTTTGTTTAATAGCATAGAAAACATAACTTAAGAGATTTCATAAAAGCACATGGGATGTTAAACAATGGAGAAGAGGTTGAAAACCAGAAAATAATGTGATTTTATGAAATTTTAATTAATAGACATTGGAAAATATGATTATTTGTATTAATTAATCTGCTGGTAGATCATCTCGACCTGAAATATTTATGCCCAGATGTTGACCGGCTGAGTATTTCCAGCAGCTTTTGTTTGTATTTTGGATTTCCAACATCAACACTACTTAGTTTTTGCTCACCAAATCCTCCTCCACGTCCCATTACCTTATGACACATCCTGCCTCACATGCTCAAAAGTACCGTGGATTGATAATTGGCCTGTAAAGTCACTTAAAGACCCGAGGCAGAAATTCCATAACCTTGAGTAGACATCACCCTCAAAATGATGGGCAGCTGACAGAAGTGAAGTGAAAATTGCCGTAGTCCCAGCGGACCAAAGACAACTGGTGATGAGTGAAATGTGAGGGCTGCCACACCTCAGGTGAGGGGTGAGGTTGAAAAGTTGTGCTTTCATGCTGACCTCAGCTGGGTCAGAAATTGAATTGCCCTTTTGGCATCAGTCAGCATTGCAAACCAGCCATCCAGCCAACTGAGATAGCCAAATCTTGCAGCCTACTCCACCTTCATATTGCACATTTTAATTCTGCAGCATTCATCACCAGTGGTGTCATTTTCAATGCCCTCTCTTTTTGATGCAGTATACAGTCATAAAGAAGAAATTCTGTTCAAATACATCCTGAAGTCGGCTTTCTTTAGAATCGTAGAATCCCTACAGTGCAAATAGAGGATATTTGGCCCATTGAGTCTGCATCGGCACTCTGAAGAGCATCTTGTCATCTAAAATATTTTGTAGGAGGCAAAATCACCACACTCCCCTTAACCCCTTTGTCTTACTCTATTTCCTCATGGATGCAAGCACCCACCTCAAATCCTATCTTTCCCACAGTGGCTTTGAATGGGATGAGGCCATGGTGCATCATTTAGCTTTTAACAGAGGCTGGCTGATGTATATGGCTGGAAATTTCATGTAATACATGATTAGTTAAGATGAAAGGACAATCACCTATTTTTCAATAATTTCTAAAGATACTAACAGACAATACTGTGCAAGATTGAGTGTAAATGACAGAAGAATAATTTATTTTCATTAACTGAGAAGATATTGTGCTGGCTTGTCAAGATTTGGATTTCAGTAAATGGAAGGCAATGCTGGATTCTGACAAAGGTTCACTGGACTTGAAATGTTAACTGTATTTTTCTTTCTACAGATGTTGCCAGGCCTGCTGAGTTTCTCCAGAACTTTGCTTTTGTTTCAGATTTCCAGCAACCACAGTTCTTTGTTTAATTTCTGTGTATCTATCACATGGACTGACAATTCCACGACTTAGTAGTATTTGTATTGTAATTGTTCTGTATTTTAAAACAAAGGAATATAACAGTGCCATGTTCTAGTATGTGTGGTAATTCTTGGTGACAGCAATCGGTGAACTCACATTTCTACAGTAAAAGTACTGTTAACAACAATATGTTACAGTAACAGGGTGACTCCTTGCTTGGTCTTGGCAAGCAACCATCAATATAACTATATCTGTGTGTAAATGGTCTCACTGTAAAAATTAGATCTGAACATTAAACTTACTTCAAATATTTATGTAGCTTTGTGGAGAAAATGTCTTCTTTCCTCCAGTACTGTTCGTCAGTAAATTTTTATTGACAGTCAGAATCCATTTATTTATCCAGTGTTGTAGGGCAGCAAACATTTATGTTAACATTCCAAAAACAACACCATTTTCCCCCCTGTAATGTTCCTCCAAATTCTTGGGAAATTCTTTTAAAGAAGGTGACTTGTGCTGAGGCTAGCAATGGTCTGCTTCCTCAACAATGTAACAGCTCTTCAGGCATAGTGCATACATGGAATATCATTTAATTATGTGTGTTGGGAAATGAGGTTGAGAATTAACACTGAGCCAAATCTTCCCCTTGCCCATTTCTCTCTGTAAGATATACATATTCCTGCACATGCAGAGTTCATATGCAGCAACCCTGTAGGATTTCCTTTCTTCCTTCAATAAAGGCCACTTGTGGGACAAATGTTGAGGTCAGTTTCTCAAAATAACTGAGTTTAAAAGTACCTTGATTGCACATTGCTTCGCATTGCAAACTGAACCACAGGGAGAGTCTTAAATGCATGCAATTTTCTTGCTTTATTCTTTGCCACTTTTTCTTTTCATTACTAATCTATTTGTCTACACAAACAAAGAGCTATCAAAAGTAAAATTGCAAGTTGTCGGGATTTTAATTTTGTTTTTAAGAAAAGGTACTGAATTTATTCAATGAAATGGGTTAGCACCACTTGATGAAAATGTTCTGTATTCATTTTTTTTAGGTATCAGTATTACCTGCAAGTAAAGAAAGATGTGCTTGATGGACGGCTTCCTTGTACATTAGACCAAGGCATCAGGCTAGCGGGTTTAGCTGTGCAAGGTAAGTGTACAATGGCAGAGTCTTTGCCTTTCTGTTAATGCTGACATCAGAAACTGTTGCTCTTGTCGATACTCTGAAATTTAGTCACACAACAACATAAGTTTGACTTTGATATCTGTGGACGTAGCCAGAGGATCCCTTTGACACGGGCATCACTACGAAAACCAGCTCAGGTGGTGATCTCTCAGTGAAACAAACTGCCTTGTAAAAATTGGAACTGACACACTGTTCCAAAGACCAGTGTTTGTTATTATATATCCCATCTATTGGTATGAGATCAGCCCTTGAATACATAACCAATAATAGAATATTACGGACCACATGGGCTGGATTAAATGCAGAGGGGCTTTCAGCCGTCTCCAGAAGGAAATCCCATCTGCCAGTTGGAGGTGAGCAGCTCTCTGCCACACATCTCAGTCACCATGACTTGATACAGCAAGATGCCTGGAAGGAGGAAGACACATGGATGCCCCAAACCAAGGGTAATGCCCACATTACGATGGGGGCAGATGAGCAGATACATTTGAGGGTATTGGCGCTGGGATGGGAGGATGGTGGGTGGGGCAAGGAAAAACTGTTGGGGAAAAGGTCTCAGATTGACACAAGGTACCCAGGAAGGAGGTTACCCCCACCCCTTTCTCTGATCAGCACCTTGTAGGGTTAAACTAGCTGGCTATATGTTGGACACCAACCTTTCCTGTCATGTGTTAAATCTGGGTGGTACCAGAAGAAGACCCTTAAATGGACACTAATTGGGCCTCAATTCAGCCACGGCTGGTTGAGCCATAGCCTGCCCAAATTTATGAGTCTGGGTAGCTTGCAAAATTCACTTCACCTTCTGGATGTTCTGACTTCTTTCCAAGTGTGCATTCTTCCTATGTGTACCTGTGCTGTAAATGCTGGCAGTCTACTGTAATAGAGGCATTCACTCTGCATACCCATGTGTATAATCACATGTATGTTTTCCTGTTTCTATCTCCCTTTCAGTAAATATTGAAGGGAAATTTGGGTTGATGTTTCTTATTCCCTAGCTCAATCACTCTATACATTTATTCTGCCCTGTTTACACTTGGCCTACACCAAGAAACAAATCTCAGACTGACTTCCTGTGGAAGCAAATTTATTATACAATCTACCTCCCACATTTGTGACTTCAGGAATAGGACTTCGGGTGGAATATGGGATGTTGTCCGCTGGACATAAACAAACAGCTCAATCATATGTCAGTCCTGGCTCTGCCGTTTTCCTGGAAACGAACCTAGACTAGCGTCTGTATAAAAACTTCGAAGAAGCGTCATGGTGGACTCAGAGTCTGTGTGCCTGTCAACAGGTGCTGCCATATTTGCTGAACTCCTCCAATGCCTTCTGTATTTTTATGTCAGATCTCCAGCATCTGTATTATTTTGATTTTATATTAAAGTGGAAGTGTTTGCATGTTTGGCAAATTCTTCTCTTTCCTCCATATTGACAGATTACCATGAATTTGGGCATTTGTCCCTTCATAGATCCTCGATGCTTTCAGTTCTCTGAAGCATTGAGTGTCCACACTTGCATTCTTAAAGGTTTCTCTGTTTTACTAGCCTGCTACTGTTTTTAGTCTCTAGCATTTGCAGTTTTTCCTCATCAAGAGTAAGGCTTCCTCAATCTTTTGAGAACTGTAAAATCTTTGTTTACACTTAGATGTGCATATTACTGAATATAGCTCTCTAGTACTGGGCTTCCCTGCTACTCAATTACATGCTTCACACTACTCTGCTCTCTCCTGCTCTTCTGATCTCAGTATTATTATAATTTTCATTGTCACTATTAGCATAATCATATCCCATTATATTACACCTCCTGTCTACTGACTCATACTGTTCAGGCTGTCTGAAATAGAAGGGACGTTCTGGTCTATCGTATAAAGAAAGAAGGTGCTGGCCTAGTGGTAACGTGACTGGCCGAATAATCCATATCCCACTTCTAATGCTCTTGGAAGTTTGATTAACACGCTCGTGTTATTTGTTCAGGAGTTTAGAAGGGTGAGGCGTGACTTGATTGAAGGTTATAAAGTTTTGAAAGATCTTGACGAGGTGGATGTGGAATGACTGTTTCCTCTTGTGGCAGATCTAGAGCTAAAAGACACTATTTTGAGGTAGAACCATGATAAGTAGATTTTGATTTTTCCTTTTTGAGATGTACAATTTTGGAATTCTCTGCCTCAGAAGGCTGTGGATACGGAATCATTGAATATTTTTAAGAGCTGCATAGAAATATTCTTGTTAGGCAGTGGAATCAAAAGTTATCAGCATAGATGAGGATGTGGAAATGCAAAACACAAACAGATCAACCATAATCTTACGGAATGGAAGAGCAGTCTTGAGGGGGCAAACATGTACATCTGTTGATATTTCGTATGATTGTATGGATTTGAATCCTGTCATGGCAGATGGTGAAATTTTAATTCAATAAAACTTGAAGTTAAAAGTTCATTTAACAATGACTGTGCAACCATTGTCCATTGTTTTTAAAAACCTAAATGTTTCACTAATGCCCTTCAGGGAAGAAAATCTGGTGTCCTTTCTTGGCCTTGCCTGTGTGTGAGTCAAGACCCACAAAAATGTGATTAACTCTTACGTGCCCTATGAAATGGCGTAGCAATCCACTCGGGTGAGATTGCCATCAAAACAGGATTTGATCAAGTAGGCTTTCAAGGAGCCCAAACAAACTGAAATCAGTGGAAATCAGGGAGAAAATCCAGCTAGTTGGAGTCATACCTGGAACAAAGGAAAATGATTGTGGTTTTAGAGAGGTGATCATCTCAGCCCAAGGACATCAGTGTAAGAGTCCCTTGGGATAATGTCCTATGCTTAACTATCTCCAGCTGTTTAATGAATGACCTTCCTTTCTTCTTAAAGTCAGAAGTAGGGATGTTGCTGACAATTACACAATGTTCAGCAATGAAGCAGTCTGTGTCCATATGCAGCAAGACCTGGACAGCATCCAGGTGTGAGCTGATAAATAACATTCACTCCTACAAGAGCCAGGTAATGTTCATCTCCAATAAGAGAGAATTTAAGCATAATTCAATGGCATTACTGTCACTGAATACTCCTTATCAACATTCTGGAAGTTCCCATTAACCAGAAATCCGTATTGAAACTGTGGCTACAAAGTCAGGTCAGAGACTAGGAATTGTGCAATGAGTAACTCACCATCTGTTTCCCAAATGTCTGTCCACTATCTGCAAAGCACAAATCAGGAGTGTGATGGAATACTCCCTACTTGGCTGGGTGAGTGCATGGACACCATCCAGAACAAAGCAGACCATTTGATTGGCACGCTGATCACCATCTTTAACATTCACTTCCCCTGTCACCAATGCACAGTGGCAGTCATGTACGCCACCTACAAGATGCACTGCAGCAACTCGCACAAGGAGCCTTTGACAGCACCTTTGAAAATTGCCATACTTAGCACCTAGTAACAGATGCATGGAAATACCACCATCTGCATGTTACCTTCAAAGTCACACACCATCCTGACCTAGAATTTTTGCTGTTCCTTCATTGTCCCTGGCTCAAAATCCTGGAACTCCCTTCCTAACAACATTGTGCATGACTATATAACCCAAAGAATACAGTAGTTCAAGAATGCAACTCATCAACACATTCATTTGTGGCAATTAGGGGTGGGCAATAAATGCTGTGCAAACCAGCAATGCTTCTATCACACAATCCAATTTAAAAAAACTCTAAAAGATATCTCAGACTGCTGCACAAAGTATGTTTTTCAGGGTTTCTTTGTTCTGTGCCATTAATCAAGAACTGGCTTTAGCTCTAGCAAATTACAAAGAAGAGATTTTCAGTATAGAGGAATACATTGACTGGACACAAACATTTTTACCCAGATTTTCCATTCAAATTGCTGACGGCAGAAAGTAGATCATTTTTGGAAAGTTTTTTTTGCCACAGATACAGAGTCTCACAACCAGTAAGAGTTTATTGGAGAATCAGAACTACAGTTTTAGCTTAATTCAGATCTGTTCTTGTATATGACAAGGTTTTGTACTGACAATGGAACTGTGCAAGATTACTCTTGTGGATTGATATCTGATATAAATCATATTAGGCTAAAGCCATTGCTTTTTCCAAGCTTGTGAGGTGGAACGTGCGATAAATAAGCCAAACAGTGTTTACACATTTGTATGTTTTTGTCTTGACCACAGCAAAGTTGTTCGATCTTTTGAATTTATAAATGCCTTTTTGAGGGATGAAATCCAATTGTAATGAATTGAATTCCTGGCGCCTACAAAGTGTGAAACTGTTTGTAGGTGTGAAGGGATTCCGGAATGTATACTGCAGCTGTGTTGAGTCTTAGGGAATTTCAGGATCTGGTTTATTGGTTGTGGAACAAGAGTTGTATTTGTTAAGATGGTTTATATGAGGCTACTTTGCAGGATATATTTGAAGATGTGGTAAAATGTGAAGTTGACTAGTAGTAATAAACCAGTTTTAGGTTCAATATGTTTAAACACTTAAAGTTTACAGTGTTCCACTATAAAGTTGATGGATATGCTGCTAGAGTGGCTAAAGTGACAGCATTTTAGTCAGACGGACTAATATTAGTAGAAAGCACCAGTTTCATGGAAAATGTCTTCTCCATATCATGGATAAATGCATTATAGGCATATAGTTACTTAACAAACATCAACAACCATTCAGTACAAATCTTTGCAGCCATTCTCTTTCACCAAAATTTAGAGTTCTACCTTAATTTATTAGGCACGGCACATCTTAATAAAATTTCTAAATTTGTGTCCAGTAGTTTTGAGCAGTACATTGACTTCATCAGAATAAGCAGTAAGATTATTGAATTTAGATTTACCCTTATTCTGCTGTGCAAATGCAATTGGTTGGTCTGACTCTTTTGCACTGACTTGTTGGAATTGCTCTTTATTATTTGGACATGCTTTCCTCTGCTGCCTTGGTATAGTTATTCAAATTAGTTGAGCTGACTGT